GCACCCGGTGTGAGTTTAAGCCACTGGGTCTGGGACTCAAACTGCAATCGACTACGTGAGAGTCCAGCGACATAGCCATTATGCCAACTGCTGGTCCCAATGCAGAGTTTCTTCTTAACACTCTCAAGTTAGCCCTGGCCGCCAAGCCCTGGCCCGCTCCCTCTTTCTCATTTTCCCTCTCTTGCCTCATGCTCAACAGCTGCACAGCTGCACAATCCCCTTTCATCTCCCTAGTCAAAGGGTGGTGCTACACCTCCCCCTGGCCCTGACCCCTTCCACCTGACACAGGGGCAGGTGAGGGCCCGGCTGATCAAAGCCCCAGGCTTCAAGGACCTCAGTTCCCTCCCCCAGCCTTCCCGCAGCAGGGTCTAAGTCCACCAGGATGGAACCCAGGGCAGAAAAAGAGGTAGGAGTTCCACGGCTCACCCTGCTACTGTGACCCAGGGATGGAACGCTGTGTGGGGATTCAACGGGTTTGTGGAGGGCTGGCCCCATAGCCTGGTGGTTAAGGAAGCCAGGTCCCACATGGCTGACCGTGGTTTGAGTCCTGGCCGCGGCAGCTTGGGAGGGGCACCAGGTACATGTGTGAGCCTGTCTGGAGTCCTGACAGGGTGGACAAGTGGAGAAGGAATGGTGGCATGGCTGTATCCCATTGGGAGGTGCTTTCTCTCTCTCTCTCTATCTCTCTCTGTATCTCTCTCCATTAAGTGCACACACTATCTGGCAATTGAGAAGAGAAAAAAAAAAGTTAATGGAAAATGGAATTAAAGTACAAGTTTAGTTTGGTGCAAAAATTTTTGAAATCCACACATAGTTTCTTCGTAATGCATATTTCCCATGAACTTTTTGAAGATCACTGCCCATGTGTTTGAGGGGAGCCTTTTTTGGTTGTTGTTTTTCTGTTTTTGGAGACGTTTTTGCTATCGGGCACGTGTGCTCGCCAGAAAGACAGAGAGAGACAGAGAGACAGAAAGCGAGAAATCTCCCCCCAGGGGGGATGGCCACGCCACAATCCCTTCTTCTCCATTCTCCTCTCGGGATCTTGGGCACACACACACACGCGCCTGGCATGTTTAAGCCACCGGGTCCAGGACTCGAACAGCGTTCAACTACATGGGAGTCCAGCAACATAGCCATGACGCTAACTGCTGGTCCTGAGGAGAGCCTTCATTGCAGCAGAAGGACGAGAGGTTGGACTTGATGGAGGGCTTTGTGAAACAGACCTCCAAGACCCAAGAGAAGTCCTCGGGAAAAGCAAGTGAGAGGTTCATGCTACCAGCCAAGTGAGACCCCCAGACCAGAATTTAATCTCTCAGCCTCTGGACGCCCCCCCCCCATCCCATTCCCTGTGTCTCAGGGCAAACACGTAACTCAAGAGCCAATCATCCCAGCTCTTCATACAGAAAGTAGGGTAAAAATGACAGAAAGTGAGAGAGCACCCCCTCGGGGGATGGCCATGTCACAGTCCCTTCTCCTCCATTCTCCTTTAGGGATTTGGGGTACGCATGCACATGGTCTTGATGTGTTTTTCAAGCTACAGGATCTGGGACTTGAACCACACTGTTGGCCATGCAAGATCCAGCTGCTTTAACCACTATGCCACTGGCTGACCCAAGTCAATTTACTTTTTTTTTTTAGAGAGAGATTTTTGCTATAGGTCTCGTGCACTTGCTGGAGAGATAGAGAGGGATAGAGAGACAGAAACCAAGAAATCGCCCCCCTGGAGGATGGCCACACCGCAATCCCTTCTCCATTCTCCTCTTGGGATTTTGGGCATGCACACGCACCCAGCATGAGTTTTTTTTCAAACCACAGTCAACTATGTGGGAGTCCAGTGATGTAACCATTATGCCATCTGCTGGTTCCTTAATTTACTTTTTATAATTGAAGATAGACTCTGACTTCCATCCCAGTTTCATGGCTCATCTTTTCCAGCCAGAGCCAGGGACAAACAGAGGGAGGTGATCCTGTTGCCCTCCTGCCTGGGGTGGCTGGGGTCTGGCGTTCCTCACCCAGCTCTGAGTCTCCATTCCTTATAACCTTGACATTGCAAGTTTCATTCAGTTGGGGCTGGGAGAGTGTGAACTGGGAGCAGCCTGCCACCAGCTCGTCATACAGAAAGTATAGTAATAACAACTTGGCATGTTTTATAGGAGACTCACACTCTAGGCCTTGTTTGAATGGATCTCCTTTAAATAGGTATCCTTGGGATCAGCAGTTAGCGTAATGGCTATGTCGCTGAACTCCCACATAGTCGACCGCGGTTCGCATCCCGGACCCGGTGGCTTAAAACTCACGCCGGGTGCGTGTGCGTGTGTGCCCAAGATCCCGAGAGGAGAATGGAGGAGAAGGGATTGCGGCGTGGCCATCCGCCCTGAGGGGTGATTTTTCGTTTTCTATCTCTCCGTCTCTCTCTGTCTGTCTGGCGAGCGCATGCGGCGCCCTATAGCAAAAACCTCTAAAAAAAAAAGGTATCCTTCCCATTGCTCAGATGGGGAAAACCGAGGCTTTTGTGTGAAGTCTGGATGGTCTGATGTTCTCGGTTCCAGTTGCCCAGGGCTTGAGTTACAAGGCAGGGCCCCCAAACCTTGAGGGAGAGGCCCTGTCTCCATCGGGGGCGTAATCACCCCCTCGACCCTGTCAGTGGGCAGATCACCTGTGGTCCAAGGTTCTCAGGATACGGGGTCCTACCTGATGGGCCATCGTGAGCAAGTCCCAACCTCTCTGAGACTGAGCCTCGTCCTCCTTGAAATGAACTGAGGCCACTGCCAGGCCTCCTTTCAGGCCTCCTCTCAGGCCTGGGGGCTGCCGCTCCACTGAGCTGGTAAGTGCTTGCACAGTTTTCTCTCTGACTCTGGAAGGACCAGTTCTGGGGGACTGGGGAAGAAATGCCTGAGTCTCCAAAGTCTGGGCTGCCTGCAGGTGAGAGGGTGTCGTGCCTAATGCCGCCCCTAGCAGCCCTCCCTGTCTCCCTGCCCAGCACGATTCTCTTCCTGTGCTCAGGATAGGGGCCAGGGAAAGGTAAGGTGTCTGGAAGAGCCCAGCAAGCCCAATTAGGCAGACCGGGAGGTGACACAAGGGAGTATTTCAAGCTGGGGCTAGGATCTAGGTTTGAATCCCATGTCCCCACTTCCAACCGCCCAGAGGCTAGGCTTCCCCACCTCTGCCGCTCTCATAGGCTAAGTGAGCCAACGCACGTGCCGCCCTCCGCACACGTCTGGACATGGCAGACACCAATTACAGGCGTTATTTGCAAATCCTGGCCCCTTCATGGCAGAGCGAGAGGGCTGCCTACCTAGGGGCAGATCGGAAACCCACGTGCCTCCTCCCAAGACACCAGAGAACTCGGGGTCTCTGCTTCCCGCGCGCCCTCACCCGCACTCACTTGGGTAACGAAAGTAAAATTCATTGTCGGCGTTACTGTGGTTGCCCCAGTGCCAGAGGGCAGCGTCGGTTTCGTGGTTGTAACGGACAAAGACGGCAAAGAGGATGGCAGTGGCGCCCTGGAGGAGGAGGCACAGCAGCGGCAGCTGCAGGCGCCCGCCCGCAGCGCGGCGGGGAGGTCCGGCCATGGGATGGGCAGTGAGTCCCGGGCTCAGGGTCGGGCTCCAGCTCTTGCAGCGCAGCGCGTGGCGGACACTCCCTGGGCGGGCAAGCCGGGCAGGTTTCACCCGAGCTAGGCCCCGCCCACGCAGAGGCTCCGCTCACACTTGCTCAGGGCCTGGCTGGGAGGGTGGCAAGGGCGTATGGAAGAGGCTGGGCTCGCGGCCTGAGGTGGGGCAAGGACTGGGGCAAGCACTGGGGCGGGCAGGGGTGGCCCCACGTGCTGTCCCTCATGGCCCAGCTGATCCCGGCGCTGTTCTGGTTGGGACAGGTCCTTGCAAAGGCTCCGCGTGATCTGCCCTGGTGGGGCACAGCCCTAGGACCTGGTGAGGGATGGGGAAGAAACCTGTACCCTCATACATCATGTTCATGTCCCCAAGAAATAAGCGGTCCTTAAAGGCCCCTCCTGGCCCCTTCAGAGTTAGAGAGAGAGAGAGAGAGAGAGAGAGGGAATGAATTAATCTTTTCCCTACTGAGAAAGCAGAGATGCAGGAGATAAACAGATCACTTTCCAAACATTGATGATTAACCAGGCTGGGGGTGTCTGAGCCTCAGCAGAGGAGGCCCTTACTCCGCTCCAAGCCTCCTCCACCCCTCACCCCCAATCTGAACCCCGCCACAGCACGGCAGGCCGGGCAGGGACCAC